TAAACCCACCTTTTTCCAGGCCAGAACATGCCTAGCGTGAGCATATAGGCTCTAGGAGGGGCTTGGGTTTGTAACGAGGTGGTGGTGGCGAAGAGACTTTGTCTGGCTTTAAAAAAGCTCCTTAGGAAAAGATTTCTAGGGCGGGGGAAATGCAACAGTCGGTCCTGGTCTGTAAATCAAGCAGGGGAAGTCAAAAGCATGTTCTTTTTTTCATAGTCATTTCTTTACTCTAGCAGTCGGCTCCTTAATGAAAGGAGGGGATGATTACATCTCCCGTGCAGAAAAGTTGCTTTTCGTTGCAATAAGTTTAACGAACATGGCAGGCAGAGAACAACCTTTTCAGTTTCACTGTAAAAATTCACGCTAAGGCTACACCGTAGGTTGTTAGTTTGGTTAGGTGCAAATAATTTCTCAGAGGTGACTTAATTTAAAAACCAACCAAAAAACAACCCCCTCAAACTTATATTTATTATCTGTGAGAAGGAATACTAGAGTCAATCTGAAAATCCTTTTCCACATCACTTAAACTACCAGTAGCAAAATGATAGTCACTTTTATTTGAGTTCTTCATGTCAGTTAGGTTACACTTAGAAATCCATTACACTGGTTGTTTGGCCTACAGCACTCTAGGAGATGGTGGAACTACAGTGTGTGTAAGGTCCTTTTAATTTGTTTTTATGAAAAAGCAGGTGAAAGGTTACTCAGTGAGTCTGCTAACTGAGCTGCTCTTGTTATTTTGAGTGTAATTCTTGGTCGTGGCCTGAAATTGTATGACCCTTGCCACCAAAACTACAGCTGCTTCCTCCTATGCAAATGTCCTTTTACACGAAATGGGCTGACTCCTCAGCAGAGGTGGTTCTGGGGAAGGCTGCTTGCGTGGAGAGCACGTGGAGCTCAGGGATGGGTGGAACTAAACCAGAGCTCTGGGACAGCACAAAGCCCTGTGTGTAGATGACATTGAAACAAATTAGGAGCAGTGCTGTTCAGCAGTTGTACTGTAATGTGCCCTGTGACTGGCTTACTGTAACTGCTCTGGTGTTTCTGTGCAACAATGGGAGAGTCATGGCATCCTTTAATGTAAAAAAGTGAGTTTGGCTTGTATGAATTAATTTTGAGGTGATAGCATGATTTCTAGAGGGTGGCAAAGTCATGCCTTCATTTAGATGAATTGCAGGTTCTCTTAGGACTGTGTAGGGAGTGAAATGGCAAAATTAAATACATTCTGGTTTGGCTCTCATCTGCAGAAAAATGCCCTCATGCTGGTATACAGAGTTCTCCAAACACAATTTTGGACTTAAATAGGATCGAGTGAGTGATGTTGCCATTGCAAGGCGGGTAAATTTCAGCTCTGTAGGCTAATCTGACTCTTCAGTGCAGGATGCCCACTGTTACAAATAGAAAAGCTTATCCAGGCCCCATGTGTAAATGTGCCCTTTTCCTTTTTTTTTTTGTCTCCTTTTTTTTTTTCCTTTTCTCAGCTGCAGATGCATTCCTCTTCAAAGGCAGACACTGTTGCTTAATTTTGTCACTGGCTGTTTACCCTTTTTACAGGAAGCTGTTGCAGTTAATATTTCTAAATATGAAGTTAGTGCTGGAGTCCAGTGCTTTATGGCCAGCTCTTTTTCAGACAAAAACAAGTGCTTGCATACATGGAATAACTTTGTGCTTGAGGTTGTTAGTCCCATAATTTGCTGGGTGTTGTCCCAGTAAATGTATGTTTGACTTACATTTATTACTTGGTAGCTCTTTTCCTTTGTGCTCTGTCACAAAACTGCCCAACTAGCAGGTTATTAAAGGTTAAGCATTGGGGGAATCTTTAAAGTGAAAGGTAGCACTATGAAGTGAAGAACATTAATCCTGCTTCTGGATGGAAAACTCCTGAGATAGTTATCTCCAGTTATAGTGCCTATGCTTTCCTGCTGAAGTACAGAGCAGGTTATCACTGCGTTGGCTGTGCTGTCCTCTCCTGCCACCCTGACTCCTCCCTGGGGCCTCTTCAAGGCCCTGTGTGTGGCCGGATGGCTCCCAGTCCCAGCAGATAAGGCAAAGGGCAAGAGGAATGTTTGCTATCTATGTTCCAGAGATAGACCTGGGGCATAAGGAAGTGGTGACTTGTCCAGATTATCTGTGACTCCCAAGAGTGCGATTGCTGAGGCTCCCTATTCCTTTGCTAGAAGACCCGTATTCCTTTTAGCTCCCTTGCACCATGCCCAGTTTCTGGTCTGTATTTTCCTTGTTATCTACACCTATGTGATGCCCCTCACTGAAAGGAACAATTACACAGAAAGTTTTGCATGACTCACATTTCAGTGCTTGAAGTCAAGAATGACTATGAAGACTAGAGTGCACTCACACTGTCTTGTAAGGGAATGTTCCTGTAATCAAAATATTATTTAATTGTATTTCTGTGCATCAATTGGAACTTGATGGTCAAACTTCTGCCTTTAAAAAACCCCAGTCTGGTAAGGACCTGTACTGAAAACCTAAGCACTTCCATTATGTGCTTTCAGTAGCAGTAGCTGTTCTCCAGTGAACAAAGGTAATGCTTCCTGGCTCCTGCTGAAAGCAAAACTGAGAGTTGTCACTGAATGTAACACAGATACTGCTTTTGGCAAACTGCCTTTCCTCTGCAGGGCCAGTTATAAGGGTTGCTCCAGCCAACCAAAGAGCATCCAATCTCAAAATAATTGGGTGCTTTCCTGTAATTGCCAGAGGAGTCTGCTGAGCTGCTGATACCTTTTGGTAGAAGTAGTACATGGGGATCTATAAACTTTTAGTGTTGGTGTCCCTGGGAATTTTTTTAGTCCATTCATGCTGATAGGTAATGCTTGTTAGCTCCTGGAAGACGGCATGATTTCACTTCCTCCGTGAACTCATTCACTAAGAGACTGCATCACTTCTCCTTTCTTTGGCCAGGTACGCATCTCTGTGGAAAGGATGCCTGACACTTTATACAGGACGAGGAGGGGAGCTGCATAAAATTGGGGAGTAAGTATTGCATGTTCATACTTTGTCTCCTCTCAGCAGAGGGTCACGGTAAGTATGAGATGTGGTGGCTCTTAGTAAGTGGAAGTTAGGGCAGCGAAAGTGTGTTGTTGGTTGGTCATGGATAGGTACAGCACAAGGCAACCCTGATACAAGTTTCCAGATGCCACTGTGGTAGTGAGCCCCAACCCCCTCTAGACTGTAGATACGTTGAGGAAAAGTAGCCTCCCATCATTGGCACTGATGGAGTGCCAATGGATTTTACCTAGGAGGAGGAAATGTGTAGACAACAAGGAACTGAATCTGCATTACTTACCTGGGCCTCAGCTTGATTAACAACTTCATTTTGGTGGAAGCCTTCTGTATGTGTATCATGCTTGAGAAACAGGCAGTGCAAAGAAGGAAGACCAAGGTGACTCCAGTGAATCATATCTAAGCAAAAACAAGCCTCATTAAACCTGCTTTAAACTGCCCACAGACTGGGGCAACAGCTCCTGACTAAGAACAAACATGAGTAACATACTTGAGCAACAGAAAAAATAGCAACGCTTTCTAACCAGAACAGACTTCCACTGTTGCACAAAGTTCTGTGGGGAAACCTTATAGTCACCAGGGAAGTGGGGCTCTGGGGTGGCCATATCTTTTCTTGTATGGTTCAGAAATGCCAGCATTCAGCTGGAGTTTGTGCAAAAGAACCTGTAGATTTTATTTGGTGTAAATCCATCACCTCAGAAATGTCATCCAGTTGGCTTACTCCCCAGCAGGCTGGAGTGATGTAAGTTCCTCATCTGGGTAGTGCCTCCAAGCAGCAGGTGGGAGCTCCACTTCTGCTTAACAGTGCTGTGTAATGATTCAAATCTCTCTTCCCCTCTGCCATAATTTCCATGTGGTGAGTTGATGGGCCTATTCCTCCACAGTCCCCTCGAGTGGAAAAGGATGCTTTGAATTTCATTCCCTGCGTTGGACTCCTCTGCTATTATTGCTAATGGGGCACTGCATAGCATGAGAGCATGTGGGAGTGCTTAACTCTTCCCTAGACATGTAATGCAATCCCAGTCTGGGAGCAGGCTGGGTGACTCTGTGCCTCAGGTGACCTTGTGAGTGGGTGCTGGACAAGATTGTGCAGCTGGAAGAGAGGCAAAGGGAGCCCTTTCATCACCTTTTGTTTTCCTTAGGCCAGTTTACCTACTTGAGTAAAGGTATACTTGCCTCTGCTTGACTTCACACCAGGAATGATGTGACAGCCTCACCACAAGCATATAAAGGGATCAAAGAGCCTTTTAATACCTATGGATATTCTCTGAACAGTGGGGTCGGGATTAATTACTTTTAGGTGATGGGATGTGTCAAGAACATATGCTCTTTGTATTGTGGAGTTGAGAACTCTGTTAAAAAATGGCTTTAGAACTTCCTCATAATCCTGATTTCTCCCCAGGTTTTGCATGGTATACTCAGAAGTGCCAAACTACAGCGAGCCCAACTCAGAACACATCGGGCAGAACAAACTGGTATGTTAAACTTGTCTGAGGTTTCTGGCATAAAGTGCTCTTGGTTCTGAATACTTCCCACTAGGCTGTGATCAGATGTGACTCTCCTGGAAAAATGAACTTAAAGTGACATATAGCTAAAAATGAGCCAATAATTAAAGTAGCAGATAAATTCTATGTGGAGCCACTATAAGAACACAGGAAAGAAAACATCAGCCACTTTCTGTAAAAATGTGAATTTTCTCTCTCTGATCCCATGTCTTTTTTTCTTTTTAATGTTTCTCCAAAGGCACAAGGTGAACAGAATAATATTTCTGCATCAAGTGGTATGGGTACTTGTACTTTTGGGCCACTGGGTAAGTTTTTTTCATTTTGCAGAAGTGAAAAGATGAGAAACACTTGAAGGGAATAGAAAGAAATTTATCTTACTAAGGGTTCTCCATTCTTGGGATAAAAGTCTGCTAGGCTCTAAAGTCATTCAAACTGGGGCCCGAATGTCAAACAGGAACATTTCCTGATCATTGTTTTCAGAACTTCTTCTCTAGAAGTGGAAGAGATTAGACTATTCAGGGTGCCTGTATCACATAAGGGGACTTGACTAATACTAAATTGTTTCGATGCTTTTGAAGAGTTCTTGCAGCACTTGAAATTCTGGTTTTTTTTAAACTGAACAAGACATTGGCTTTAAAGATTCCTTACTTTAATCTTGTTAGTCACCATGGCTTTCTTGCCAGGTTAGCTCCCCAAAACAGAAGGGGTAGTAAGTAATCTGAATTCCAATATCTGACTTGTCTATATATTTTTTTTAATATATATTTTATTTAAATGTAGAAACTTAAATAAGAAAATACTTCAAGGACTTGAGAGGGTGTAAGCTGAGAGGGAACCTTAGTCTGCCTACATGATGTCCAGACTCAGTACCTGGTGTTGCAAAACTACTGCTGTGACCCTTCTTGCTTTAGCTGAGAAAGAGGGATGGAGGGGAAGTAGTTTGGGAGGGGAGAGAAAGGTAACCTGTGGTTTGAGGTCTTGCAGTGCCCAGGACCCCGAAGGACCACGCTTCTGGTCCTCAGGGTTTGCTGGTTACTGCAAACTCCGTGTGTTCCCTGTTGCTAAACTTATATAAGGGAGCAGTGATTTCAGTCCATGGAACTTGGAATAACCTTTTTTCTGTCTTTTTAGGAAATGGTTTACAAACTGGACCTGAAGCAAGTGGATTTCCATTCATGTATAATCACAGCCACACTTATGCAGGTAGTGGGAGAGGCAATGGACGAGGACCTGTAAATCCAGCACCAGCTAATAGTGTTCAGCCTCTTCCTCCTGCTGTCAGTAATGGGAGGGACCCACGCAGGGCCTTTAAAAGATGACTATGCCAAATGTGGTTGTACAGCTTGCTTAAACTCTACACTCTACTTGAGCACTTACTGCACTTTTATTTATAGTTAACTGTGAACCAGTTTGTCCTTTGTGTGGGTTTTTTTTTTTTACCTTTTGGTCTATGGAGCAAACTTGATGTGATCTGTTTCTTGTTTTGCTTAGGGAAGCACAGTGAGTCTTCCCCATACATAAAGGGGTGGGGGGGAAGGTGGATATAAGAAAGTAAGAGTAACAGGTTGAAGTGTCTCAATTAAAACTTGGTGCCCTTTGCGAAATGTAAGAAAACTTCAGTTACATACATGTATTTCTGTTTCTGTTGGTCAGCCATGTAGCCTTAATAGGTCTATTATGTCCTGTGCACATGTGGTTTGACTTCCATTAGAGTTAATGGGAGTTCTTCGTATTGGAAGAGAAACAAAGGGGAAGAGCAAAGATGCTCTGGTGAGCTAGGTGTCCTTGGAATGCATACAGCTTGTAAAAGCAATAAGTGTAAGCAGATAGTGGTGCCAGACCTAGTGGTGTCTCTGGAATCAGGGAATGGATAACTCATATCAACTCAAGTTGAAGACATGGTGAGTGTCTTGAAGCTTGATTCTGATTCCAAAAAGGTGTGCACTACTTGAAAATTCTCTATACGACATTACCACTGTCAAGGAAAGTAACACTGATTTTTGATTTGGAGAGAAGCTTACATATTCATTCTTGCTTTGCATGAGATAGCAGAATATAGAAGGATCTGAATTCAGACAGTGTTGGGGAGTATGCTGTTTGTAGCCACTCCTTGCATAAAAGCTCAAGGTTACTTTGCGGGCGTCTGAATTTCCAGGAGCGGACTGTTTCCAAATGCTGCATTACCCATCTCTTCGACGAGGCTGCCTCCTCCTCCTTCCTTCCTTCACTTTTCCAAGTGGAATTACGTATTAAATGAAGCTGTATGTGTGGATTGCAGAGGTACCGGCCAAGAACACAGCTGCACTTATGCTGTTAAGCTTTCCTTCCTCTGTTTTATATGAAATACGAGTTATCCCTTGAAGAACCCCACCACCTCCATGTCCTGGGGGGAAAATAGCTGATTTTATTTCTGAGATCACAAATGCCTTGACTCTAGGTAAGAGTCCAGTGCCATATTTCAGATCAGGTTCAAAAACAACTCGGAAACTGAGGTGTCATACTGGATTCATCTGTTTAACTCTTCTTAACTGACCTCTCAAATAAAAAAATTGCACTAATCACATCAAAACAAATCTAACTTTCTTTCTGTCAAGCCATAAAGACTTCATGACAAAAGGCTATTTCTGAATTGTGAATTGTTTCTGTGGTCTTTCCTGTTATTTGAATCTGCCACTGTCACTAATGTTTACAAGTTGTTTACATTTGATACTTCTGCTTTTGGTACTCTGTCATGATTTGTTGAAAATTGCTTCTAATTGGTGAAAGTTCCTTGCTTGGTGTGAAATACTGAACTTTGTTTGAAATGCAAGCATCAGTAACAACAAACTTCTGAAGAGAGGTTTAGAGAGACCTGTATGCCCAGACACCTGAGGGCTGTTTGTGTCTAGTATGGTAAAGTGCTTTCCTGGTACCTGCTTCCAAGTGGAACTAGTGAAACTCGTTTTGGACACAAGAGGGTGGCATGCCTCATGAGATCATCCCTGGGTGCTGCTATGGAACAATGTGATAATTGGTGAACCAGAAAGCATGTGGTGACTTCTGAGGAAATGGTGTAAGGAGGTGACATGTAACTCAGGGACTTTAAATTGCTTACTTATTTAAATAAATGTATAGTTTAGATGTACAGACAACCTTTTCTGCAGTGTTGCATTAAGACATTTCATATGCTTGTGAGAAGGAAGCCAGGGAGACTTCTAAACCTGGGAAGCACATACAACATGTTCCAGAGGTAAACAAGATGTAAGTATGGTGTGAGAGCTGTGCTTCCCAGTAGTTGCTGTAAAGTTAGCAAGTGATGACGTGGTGGGGACTGAGTTCTCGTTGGGGTATCTGCACTGTGGATCTCAGGTCCTGGTGATCTTGACTTCTCTGCAGCATAAAAAAGTTGAAATAGAGGGGAACCCTGTGTTAGTGTGTGCTGAGGTACCTGATGTTTGTAGCTCTATGCATTTGAGCTTTTATTAAACTAATAAACAGAATACTTGTTCACAAATTCCAACTAAAAAGTGAGATGATTGCTGCTGATAAGTGGCATAAGATTAAAAGCTTGTGTCAAGTGGATGATTGATTTGCACTTGGGAGGAAAAAAGCAAGAGGCTGCTCTTCATGTTCTCAAGGTTAGTAGCATTCCTGCTTCCCTGTTTCTTACATGAAACTATTGCAGTTTATTAATAAATTTTTACTTCTTTGCAGGGGAAATCTGTGTCCAGAAAAGTCACGTGGACTTAAATATAACTTTTGAAGGTCTTCTGATCTTCCAGTGAACCTAGGACAAAGTTGTTTTGCTCAGAGGTATCACTGTCAAGATAGTTCTCAGCTTGCAGAGGAACCTGGGATCCTGCCTTACACCTGTTTGGATCATAGCACCTTGGTTCATGGAGAGAGAGACACACACACTTCTCTATGCAAACAAGCAGTTGTCCTGAATTACTCTGACACTACAAGGCGCTTCACAGGTGCTCAGTGGCTAGGTCATTAGGGAGTCTCTGCAGGTGTCTTCCTAAGATATTAAAAGATTAGGCTGCACTTAGGCTAGTCTCATTCTAGAATAATACAGATTTCCAAAGGGAAAAAAAGGCCCTGGAAGGTGTTCACCTACCCAGACACAAACTGCCTAGTGCTGAAGTGCAGCTGAGTAGTCCTGACACACGAGCCACCAGATGCCCAGCTCTCATCACCCCACAACAGCTGCCCCCTCTTACCTGCCCTAACAAAAGCACTGATGGCAGATTGCAGTGAAGTGGCAGTGGAAAGAATTTCCCTGTATTTCTGCTGCCATCCTCTGTGTTCTTTCTGCCCATCCTTTGCATGAATCTTTCACCTTGATCCAAAAGTGGAAAAGCAGTCCTGTACTGTGAAATACTGCCTTAGCCTTGGATACATGGTGAAGTCACACACTCCATGTCCACAGTGAAAATGGAAATGTGCTGTGAGAACAAATACAAATGCTGGACTGAGGCATGTGAAATGTCATCTGCCTTCACAGAACTCGTTTAATTAGCTTTGGCCATAAAATGAAACTAGCAGGTTGCAGTCCTGTGCACTCCAAATAATGCTGCTTAGCACCATCACAGATTCCAGGAAGGGTATGTGCAGGGGGTGCTGCTTCTGCCAAGCAATGGGGGGTATGAAACAACTTTTCTCTGTCAGTGCTGTGTCTGCACAGGCACCCCCTCTCCTCCTTAGCAGCACTGCAGGGGTGTTCTGTTAGGATGTGCATTCTCTGGACAGGGGAGGGTTTATTAGACAAGTGTGGTTCCCTGAAACCTCTTGGGGCCTTAGGTTTTCCGTAGACATTAAACCTTATGTTTTGTAATGACCTGGCTGTGCTACAGTTGTCATCTGCAGCTCATGTACATATCTCAAAAGCAAGGGATCTTTCCCTGTTCTATGAGGCAGTTTTCATCAGCAGCTCCTGAAGTGCTTCGTTAGGTCTAGGAGTTACTAAGAGGAATGGGGTTTGGAGTGTTTCTGGGAAAATCTGGGCTACTTCATGGCCCTTGTGTTCTGACCTGCCAGGTTGTTCCCCTACTTCTCTTAAAAGGTCTTATATTTACCCGGTCAAACACACTCTTTGTTAATCTCTGAGCCAAGCAGTTACTTACACTGCTGAGTGAGGTCTCCAGCAGTGTTTTCCCAGGGGATCCCAGGAGGTGCCCTGCTGTCTCCATGCAGCCCTTGTTGACAGCTAGCTCTGGAGCTGGAGTTATTTGGGGAATTTCTTCTCAGTCCAGCACCAGTGCATGTTCCTGAGGAGATTGTGAGGCTGCGATTCCCCATCTGGCATCTGGTGAGGCACTGTTAATAACTGCAGAGCTTATGATGGCCGTGTCCCAGGGAGATGCTCCCCTTGCTGTGTGATGCTGTGGGGTGAGCCCAGCCTTCACTGCTGAGGGGTGCAGCAGCCTCAGGCATCCCAGGAACTCATTAAGAGATGCTCTTTCTGACTTCAGCCTTAATCATGCTACTGATTCCTTTATTCTTGATTCCAGAGAATTTGAAATTGTTATGGCTCTTTATAAGGGTTCTGCTATTTAATTTATTCTGTGATGGACGTTTGTGTGTGTACGTGTGTAATTGGGGATGGAAAAGATTAATCCTAAACAAGCTGTTGATTAAATTACAGAGGATGGAGTTCAAAGGGATTAGAAAAAGTTTGGAAGTGACTAAGGGGAACTCTTAAGGACTTCATTTAGCTTTTTAATTTCTCTAAATTGCTGATGGTTTTTTTCTCAGGAAGAAAGCAACGCCATTCTAAGAGCTTCATCTAAAACTGCCCTCACTCACCCCCAACTGATAAAGACTGACTGGATTTGCGTGTGTCCTAGGGAACAGGGTTAGGGAAGGAGTAAAACATCAGGATTTAGCTCAGAAAAGAAAATTCTTGGACTGTAAATGTACCTTCAGAACTAAATGCTTCCTTATTATATGTGTAAAGGGGATACTACCTGCTTTGCAGAGTGGAGAACCCAAAGCAGTGCAGTCACTGCAGGGCCAACTGGCTGCTACATGTTAGATAAGTTTTCATATAAAAGACAAAATCAGCTTAATACACCATCAGCTGTGGCTTGGCAGGAGTGTAGTTGTATGTTGTAGTGTAGCAGAGCCCTCCACCAAGCTTTCTTCAGGTTCATGGCCAGAGGGTGAAATGGTCTCACAAAGTAATGGACAGGTATTTGGGAAATTTGGAACCACGGTTGTCCAGCTGTGCTTATGTCCCATGGGAATCACCAGGAGATCCCACTGACTTCAAGGATAATTTGGATCAGGTTCTGTGCAAGCAGTAGTTTCTCATCTGTAAAACCAGGGTAAAGTGGTAGGGCAGATCTGTCAGATGATAAATTAATGGTTTAGGAAGGTGCTGGATGCTGTGGAAAAGCTGAAAGCCACAGCCAGTGTGTAGATTTTTTTTCTTTTTAAATCAGAAGACTTTTAAGCATATGTATTTCTAAGCCTGGATTCCTTATAGTTAGGTAATGGTGTTTGCTCTTTTGGGTTTGCTCGTTTTCCAGTGATGCCAAGTGCTGCAGTTCTGTGCCCAAAACTGCAAGCAACTCGCTGCTGCCTCCCTGGGCCCTGCCTGCAACTGCTGCTTCGAGTAGTATTTCTGTGCTGCAGTCACACAGCTCAGGCTCTCACGGTACGGGGTCTGTGGGTACCTGCATCGCCCCAGAGCAAGCTGTCCCTTCCACCCCAGCACCAGGTACTGGTGCCTCTGAACACATGGGTGGAAAACTGTGGCTCTGGACATGGCAACTCCTGGAGGTCCAGAGGCATAAAGACTACTTGTGTGGGACCTGCTGGTGGAGCTTGCTTTTATTCTTTGCTGAAGGAAAAAAAACCCCACATCCTGCCAGGTGGGAAGTGCAGCCAATGGCAACCTCATTAGAGCTGGTTCCTTTGCTTCTGTCCTGTCGTGCCGTGCATTCCCACCAGGGAAGGGTCAGGGGGTACCCCAAATCAGGAGAGCAGGAGGATGCGAGGGCAAGGTCTGCAGCAGAAGGGCTGGTGGAGCCCTGGGGGGCTCTGGCTGGTGGCTTCTGGTACCTGTGTTATAGGTAAATTTGTTAAACAGTTGGATGAATACCTTTCAGGAGTGGCTTGGGGATGGGGGGGGGGAGTTGATTCTAGTGTGGGACAAGCACGAAGATGCATTGTATGATCTCCTCTAGCTGGTTCCACCATTCTTTTCTATGATTTATGCATTAGCTTAATTTTTGTAATTTCCTTCTTCCTAGGTTGATTAATACTAAATTTAATTTTCTATAATCAACTTGAGCATGTAACTTGAAGAGATGAGGTTTAGGCTGATTGCAGAAAAAAAATCTACCTATCCAGCCTAGCTTGAATAAAGCAAAAGCAAAACTATTTTTATCTCTAAATTATGCAATATTTTCATGGAGCTCTGCAGCCTACTTATATTTAACCTTTGAAAGGAGTGCTCTATTTTTTCAGACCACCTAATGCAAACTTTGCAAATAGGTTTTTTAATTATGAGAAACCCACCTGCATGCCATCAACCAAATTATTAGTGAGGCAGAGTAGGATAACCAATAGTGCTGTCAGACTTAAGCTGAATATGAAAAATGTTTAAATGCCAAGAACAGAAGTTGCCAGGAAATAACTTTAAACACCAGGTGCTGGAGGAACAAATAATTATGACTTATTTTATTTTTAGAAATAGTGAGTTGAGGCCTTATGCAGGTAGACAGAATTCTAAGTGCAGCAGCAGTGCTTGGCTATGCAATAGAACCGACAAAATCAACACAGCCTTCTTTTAAAAGAAAAAGAAAATATCTATTTTAGTTTAACAAAGCCTTAGGTAGGGACAGAAAATGAACTTCATAAACTCTGTAGTGTTTGTAAGACTCCAGTGAGCTGTCATTGTGCTGTGGCTTATCAGAGCTGTCTGTGATGTGGTTTGGGATGACCTTGAAGCAAGAAACCCCTGTGCAAAAGCCATTATTGCCAGCCTTTCCCTGGTACACCCAGTCTAGTTTCATTTTGGCTGTGCTTTACTGATGGCAGGGTCCATTGCTAGGGACAGTGAGTGTAAATGTTCTTGCTGAGCTTATTTTCCCCAGTAGTATGGGGAATCAGAGGTAATTTCTGGAGGAAGGGGGACCCAAAA